ATATAATTAGCCAAATTGGAGATTAGTTTACATCAATTGTTTATATTGCGCTCGCATCTAACCTTTTGGCTTCAAAAATATCTTGATTTTGTCTTGTTTTCACCATTCTACTTGCGATATTATTCCAAAGTTATGTATCAATTAACATGGAAACTTATCCTTATCTGGTAAGTAGTCAAATACCACATATTTTATTATATATTTATAGAGTAAAACAATCATTGTGTACAAAGCATATATTATAGCAGGCAATATATTTGCCAATGAGCAATATCACAGGAAACTAATGTTCTCTGAGGAGATATCCTGTATTTCTGTAACTCTGTTCAGAACAACAGTCCAACTATAAGCTGTCATCAAATGTAGTGTTAGAGCCAAGATTAAGGTCATAAGATGTTAACAGTTAAATACTTATATATTAAAATTTTGGTTTTACACATGCATACACAGTTAAAGGGGAAGTCAAGTCCGTTCTGCGCATTGGTTCTGCTCATAACAATGTGAGGACCTCTAATGTGAACATTGCCCAAATTTCGAATGTTTCGAATTTTTCTGAATATAAACTCTATTTCATATTCATTTAGAAGCATAGCAAACCAAAATGGTGTTAGATATTCAGACAGTACATCATATTTAAAAAAATACAGCAGTTCAAAATGTAAACAAACCGTTAGTTTACATTACGGACTTGACATCCCCTTTAAATAATAAACAAAATTTTTACAAACATTTTCAAATGCCAATAAAAGAGTAATAATATTATCGTTTTGCTTTCTAATATAAATGTTTTTGTTTGGAGATTAATTGATACAAGAATGATGAATAAATGTACTGGATATTGGCTGGATAATTTTGTCAGAACAACAGCCACTTGCAAGAAAATCTTACCTAAATTCATTAGTGTGGAAAATAACTTAACAGCTACAATAATCATATATTGTATATGGATGGATCAGATCAATTGCACACAGTATATGTACAAAACTAAACTTGTGCTACCTTCTACTGAAACCGATATTCTCTAACAACACAAACTGAAACCGATATTCTCCCATAACACAAATTATTTTTACATTCTAATTCACTACGTTCAACCGAACGTAAATTATTTTCAATCTCCATGCTTATATTCATGAAAAACAAGCTGTACAACAATATATGGTTGGTTGCTGATGCAATCCACACTGTTTTCTTATTTATTTTCTTTTTCCTCATACGAATATATTACACACTTTGGTATTTACTACAATCCTAAATTATTCGATATTTTTAAGCGTTCTGCTACATCGTCCAAAATATACATATCTTTCGCATTACTCGTTCTCCATCGACCATGAATTTTGAGTGACCTTTCTGACAAATTTCTGTTATGTCTAACTGCTGCCGTCGCTCCACCTGAACGTAAACTGTGTAGTCCAAATCGACTGCTGTCATGTCCAAGATCTTTAATACAATCCTTAAATATCTCTCGGCATCTAGAATATGACAACTTATTTCGACATAGTTTATAAGTGTTAGAAGATTTATAAAACCGTAGCACTCTAAATAATGGAAGATTACTGCTAAAATCCATACCCCCATTCATCATGTATCGTTCCAATATCGCTACAGGGCAGTATTTATCTTTGAGACGACTTACGTACACAACGTTTCCTTCTCTGTAAACATCATTTTTAGCGCGAGGAATAAATATTTTCAAATACCCAGATGTGATAGTCAGATGTAATGGTACTATGTTACTCAACTCATCAAAACGTAGAAAAGCTGCAAATCCAAGAGTGCATAAACAAGTAAGCCTTAAATCATTTAAACTAGCGGCAGATGTAGCATATTTATCGACGATGGCTTTTATCATATCTGGAGAAATAGGAACTTTCCTATTGACAGTTGGCTTACAGCGTTTCGCCGACTCCAAAAAGTTCGATAAAATCTTACTATCAAAGGGATTTTGATGAACAAGCGGCAGGAAGGAATGATACCATTTGAGGGCAGAATGTATTAAAACCAAACTGGAGTATGATTGAGACTGATTGTACACTTTGGACATATAGGCCACAGCCAACGAAACTGAAAAAGGTGGCGCTGATGGAACCTTAACTAACTTACACCAACAGATAAACTTGCCGATCTCTTTGAGATATCGTTGAGATGTCGACTGTGCTTTAGATTGAAGTAGCTGATGTAGTAACGTTGAAGTGACTGGTCTGATACCGACTGGTAACTCCTTCCATTCGGTAGAATTTGTAAATACCTATAAGGGAGATTAATAGGGACAAATTTGCGTTATAAACAATATTTGAACTAAACTTTAATTGTTCTCTTTTCCTCATTTGACAATTAGATATAACTTTATTCCTGGCAAGCGCCACTCATAATTACAATTTTTCGGCCAGTGCCGGCTACATGTCAACTCCTCCGTTTCATGAACACATTTTCAACATTTAGGCCAGTGCCTGCCAATAAAATCACACTTGACAATGTCAACTTTTAATATATAATGTAACTGTTTTAAGGCCAGTGCCTTGTTTTCCTTTGTAATTAAACGTACGGATACTAAACGTTCGACTGTCAATAATCAAATTGTAAACGTACTGCCAAAATATCACCAAAGAACCTATCGGAACCCAATAATGAATTGGTATTTCGGCCATGGACTAAAGAATGTCTTCCGCTGAAGAACTGATAGCCGACTACGAAACTCACATATTTTCTTGAAAGTATGGGCCAAAATTGTGATGAAGGCCAAAATGGTACAATTACGGTTGCCGTTGCTTTGCAAGCATACAAATAATGAAGTGCCCTTACAATGAGGTCTACTGGTGGAACGACCAAACAATTTTCACCTTTTATTTTTTGCACAAAGAAATCTACTCCACTGGAACCAGGATTCCAGAATCTTGAAAAATATTTGCTAACTTTCTTATTATAATAGTTAGCAAAACAATCCACAGTGTGTATACCCCAAAGCCTGTCTATAGCTTCAAAACAATCCCGAGTAATTTGCCAATCATCAATGTCAATGAGACGACTTATAAAATCCGCCTTTGCAATCTCCGTTCGAGGAATCCATTGAATTTCTAAATGAATCGCATTGTCAGCGCATATCTGAAAAATCTTCATTGCAATAATATGTAGATCAGATCGCATACTCCCAACGGAAACAATTTTGCAAGCTGTTTGGCTATCTGAAAACCATTTAACATATGTGCCTTTTAATAATGGCAAAAACGAGTCTAATGCAAATTCAATAGCCGTAAGTTCCCTCCAGGTAGAACTTTTCTGGCTTTCCTGGTGGTCCCATTGTCTGTGACAAACCTTTTCGCCATTAAAATCAAAATGAGCCCCACAGCCTGTGCTGCTAGCATCCGAATATATAACATAATTCGATTTCTTTGTTACATTATTATCAATATATTTTATATTCAATTTCTTGGCATTATCTTTCCAAAATACTAACTCTCTTTGACAATATTCGTCTAACAGGAAAACAGAATCCCAATCTTCAGCAGCCGCGATTGAAATAGAACAATATCTAGTCATAATTCGAGATATGTTGCCAAAAACAGAACCTGCGGAAATGATTTTCCCAACAAGCGAAGCTAACTCTCGAGCCGAAACCAAAAATTTTCTTTGAAAAACTAAGTTTAGTCCCTCAAGCATGCTTGTTATTCTCTTATCTGTAACACAAATAGTTCCGTTGAAAGTGTTCCACACCAAACCTAACCATTCCATGACTTGGCATGGCTCCCATTGACATTTTTGTTCATTAGTAATTAACCCAGAGTCAGCCAAGTCGGATCTAATATTTTGAGACAAAACTTTGCATGCTTCCCTTTCGCTTTCAGTCAACCACCCGTCGTCCAGGAAAAGTCCTAGACTGATTCCGCTATACCTCCAATATTTGACAAGCGGTTTCAGTGTTTTGGTAAAAATGTGTGGTGCAGTGGAGAGGCCAAACGGTAAAACTGTAAAAATAAAATACCTGCGTGTTTTACTGTCTGGAAATTTCCAAGCAAACCCCAAAAATGTTTGATATTCCGGATGAATTTCTATGTGGTGATACCCACTTTTAAGATCAAATGAAATCATGAAAGCACCTTTCTGAAAGTATGATAAACCTACTTTCCAATCTTCATATTTAATCGCTTGTTTTTCCAGATATTGATTCACATGCCGCAAATCTAAGATTAGCCTCTTTTTCCCCGATCTTTGTACGGATACACTGAGAGGATTGATAACATGGGGTAACTGCGAAACCTGCAAAACTCGCCCTGATAGAAGCAACTCATTTATAGCCTCATTGACAAAATTAGAATGTGCAAAAGCAGATTTGTTATTTGAGATATCCCTGCAAGGAGGAGCCTGTATAAATGGCAAACGGTACCCGTCACTAATCACGGATAATATAAAATTGGATGTTCCAATTTTCTTCCAAAATTCAATATGTTTCCTCAGTCGACCCTTAACATTGGCTAATACCTTCTGAGGGCAATCATTATCAAATTCACCATAATTTGTTACCTCACACAATTGGTTTATCACGCTATCGTTACCATTATCCACGTTACATTCCGTCCTTGTTCCCTCCGGCTGGTCTAGGCGTTGAGCCGCTTGCATAATAGAATCCACTTTTGTTTGGTGTTGACAACGTTGGCCAGGTGATTGGAACTCTGCAATCTTTTGCCCAATGTCCGATACGCTGACAGCGGAAGCACCTGACTCTGCTTCCAACAAATTCTGAACGGCCTAGAAATACCGAGTAAAATAATGTTAGATCAGACTACCTGTGTGGGAGGGTGGGCGGGAAAGTGAGGCAATAATACAGTGTTGGATTACAAGAGTGAGAGACCGAACATGAACGGACTTCAGTATATATAGACAAACGAGCCAATCAGTATGTTGGTCATGGTCAATGAAGCACATCGGAATATATTTGCATTCCTATAGAAAATACATTTACGTTCTAATTCACTACGTTCAACCGAACGTAAATTATTTTCAATCTCCATTCTTATATTCATGAAAAACAAACTGTACAACAATATATGGTTGGTTGCTGATGCAATCCAACCGCAATGAGAATCACAAAGTACAAGAAAGATCATAGCTACCACGAAAAAGCTGATTATCAGCAGCAGGCTTGAATCGTTTGGACGCATTGCTAATCTGTGGCTTTGCTTCCTTTCTCTTCCTCTCCACGGCGCTCATTGCTTTGCGAATTCTCTTTTCGTCCTCTGAATCTGAAGCGATGTCGTCGGACTCGTATTCTTGAGCGACTTGCCAGCCGTCCTTTGTTCGGTCAGCCAACTTAATTAATTTCTGCCGTTTCTTGATTAGATGCTGTCCTTCGTCAATCAATTTCTGTGCGTCAGGAGGACTGTCGATACTTTCACCGATCTGACTGAGTATACGACTTAGATTAGCGTTCAATTCGAACTGCTTTCGATTGCCTTTAAACTTCAGCTCATTTGCCTCTTTAACAATCTTGGATTCTTCGTGTAAATGTTTATCTTTGGCTTCTAATTGCGACGTAAGATATCCTTTGAACATTGAGAATACTTGTTCAACCAACTGCGTATTCTGACCCGTTTCGCTCCTGGGTGTAGACTCTTCTTCGTTCAGAAATGTAGACTCATGATTCTCAGCCATACTTGAGGCAATAATACAGTGTTGGATTACAAGAGTGAGAGACCGAACATGAACGGACTTCAGTATATATAGACAAACGAACCAATCAGTATGTTGGTCATGGTCAATGAAGCACATCGGAATATATTTGCATTCCTATAGAAAATACATTTGTGTGGACATGCTGTGTTAAACCGAACAGTGTGGTATATCATTAACTTAATGATGCCCTTCAAAACATTCTCTACTGTTTATACAGTGGTCTTTGATATATGATTGACTCATTGCTACAGCAATGCATGTTTCTCAAATAGTTTGTGTATGTTACTCAATAGTTAACATTGCTAAGTGTAAGTAAGAAGTGACAGAATTTTTGCTTCATATGATTACAATAAAGTTTTGAAAATTCGATGAGTATGGGGATTGATTGTCAAGTGACAGTTTACTAAATAGCCGGCTGTATAGACACTTTCAATATTGTTTGCATGAAATTTTTATTTCCTGACTGCATAATTACCTGTTACAATCATAATCATATTATAAAATTATTTAAATTTTCTTGGCGGTGGCGGGGCGGGGCGGGGGGGGGGGCAGTTGCCCCTGTGTACGCACTGTGTACACCCTATTAGATGTGTATTATGTTTGACTTTATCTTAATCTTATTTGCTATTATATTATAATAAGTGATGAAATATTTCAATTGCCCCATGTCATCTTCATAACTCAAGCTTTTTCGCAGATACATGTACGTGTGTCGCATACCTATTTTTTTAAAGAGGCTACTTTCAATCATATGCCACTGTTCAATTCCAACCCATTCCCCCTGTGCAATTCCCCTCCATCATACCCTCCACAGTCATTATTGCAAATCCCAGTCTACCCACCCAACAGTGTCCCACATTGGTGAACCCAGATAACGTCGACCTTCCATGTTTGTTAATATCTAATGTCTGTTCGACTTTCCCTAAGGTGGATGAACTTGAAGCAGTTTCTCAAATCAATGAAGCCGATTTTATCTGTATCACTGAAACATGGCTAAATAGCAGTATTCCTGATTCAGCAGTTTCCCTAGCAAATTATTTCATTTTTCGCAACAACAGTTTGTCATCTTCTGGAGATGGCGTTTGCAGTTACGTTAAAATTACATAAAATTTCACACAGAAGACTTCGTACCTATAAAGACTAGGGTATTGAACCATGTCCATCAGGCCACCCCCCGTCTGCCTCAATCTATTTTTATAATTTTATTAGCTGTCATTTACCATGCTACATCCTGTGGCGCCGCTGAAAATGGTGTGTTATATAATTACATCCAAACTAATGTTGATACTTTTCTTTGTAACCATCCGAATGTGTTACTTCCCATCACCAGGGATTTTAACCCTTTAAGGATGGGCTTTGACGAATGAATGCTTAACATAATCGCCGGTTTGACCCAAATAATCAATGTTAAGAGCGGTTGTCTGTAATAATCAGGTAAGACGTGTAAAATGAAAAAATTCAAAATCTTTCAAACTTTGTCAGAATGTAGGCCTATATAAAGTATTAATGTTGTGAAAGTTTTATTTCGATCGGATAAATATTGAAGGAGAGAGACGTCGAAATTGGTTTTCCCATGCCACTTTCGATTTTTAGAGGTCATTTTACGGCACTACCAAAATCGCTCTATTTTGCGTGTTAATGGGAATATTTCACAAAAATGATTTCGTTTTATAAATTAGAGATATTTATTGATTAGCAGACGAAATTTAGAGACATTTCTGTAAAAAGTGAATATTTTACAGATTTTCTTAATGTTTTTTATTTTCGAACCTTTTTATTATATGCCATATTAGGCAGCGAATATCTCCATTGTTACATCGATTCAGACAAAAAATTCATAACCAGATCAAAGAAATATGTTTTCCCTTGCTATTAATCAAATAAAATTTTGGGGCAACTTAGAATTGAATTTTTGACGAATTTTTTCGTAACCCCTATTTGACCCGAATAACCGTATGTTATGTAATCAACGTCGAGTCATGTAGTTCAATAAATAACCAAAGAGCTCGTCAAAAGCGTTTACTTCTTCGAGTAAACAAGCCTATGCCTATAAAACTACCTTAGCTAAAGTTGTACAATTGGCAGAAAGCATTTAGGTCTAAATCACACTGTTTACAGTCGCTTACTGTTCAGATAATGCCTGTAATATATTGTATAGCCGGCACCGCTGATTTGGCGGTTTGGTTTTAATTATATTTTATCGGGAATATGCCGCGATAAGTATAGCAAGCTAAGTGTATTTTCTCTCCCCTTCCCATAAACATTTGTTTTTTCACGACTCGTCTTGCTTATAACTGTTCGAACATAAATAGTGCACGCGCTTTTTGTCAAAAACATCTGTCAGTTTACGTTGTCAGAAATTGTAATCTGTCAGAAATTGTAATTCGTTTACTTACCGTAATTAATTTAATTAATATTAAAGCTGGATTCTTTCACCGTGATGTCATGCCAAAAGGTGTCTTTTCTATTTTTAAAAAAGACCCTCTGTTCATTTATGATTTGGTAATATTTACTACAGTTGTATGTCTTGTATATTTGATTATTTTGTTGTTGCTCAATAACTTTAGTCATACTTCAAACCAAACTTCTACCCACTGTTACTTATTTAGTAGTTTTAACTGGCCATCACTTCAGTTTAAAACAGCAAGAAGATAAAGACAACATGTACGTGTGAGTTATCCATGAAATAAATAGTTGGTTTACAAAATGAATTCCGTCTTCGTGGATAAAATTAATGAGTTATAAATAATCTCTCCTGTATGTGTTAAGCTACATGTAGGGATTTCCCCCGGTATATTTCTTCTCTTTTGTATTTCTCGCTGTTTGTGGTTGCGCGTTATCTGACATATGGGAGTTAGGTAACATCGAGTTGGATTCGAGTTCGAGTTCGAGTTGGACTTCGAGTTGGACTTCGAGTTAAACTTCGAGTTGGATATTTTTCTTTAGTTTTCGGGAAAATGAAAATTGTATTTCACCCAACCTTTTTTGCTGCGGAGCGAGCAAGCCTGATGCAAATTTACACATATGGGGGAATTTTATGTTAAACCATTGTTTACCGCAGCTGCATGTAGGCCTACATCACAGAATAAAGATCAGTAGCAGAAGGGCCACTCAGCGGTGCAACGTGTCACAATTTTTCTATGCAAAAATATGCAATTGACTGGCCAGGAAGATGGCGGCCAGCCAATACAGCGCGTTTATTGGCCAGAAAATGTAATCGACTGGGTAGGAAGATGGCGGCCAGGGTCCCTTCTGTGTGCCTTATTCTGTGCCTACATTGTGGTCGTGCGCGATCGGAAATGCTCAGTAACCTTTTTGTCGGTTGTGGCCACAACACCTTGTGGACGTTGTGGTAATTTTGAGTTACAGATTACAGATACAGATATTGCACAGCACACTCCGTATCAGGGTTTTTCAGTGACTGGTTATATCAGGACCGGTGTCCCAGCAGATTTGGACCCCCCTCAAAATGGACCCCCCGGTCCAAATCCGCTAGCGAATATGGACCGGGGAGTCCATATCCGCTAGCGAATATGGACCTATGAGGGTCTTTATTCGCTAGCGGATTTGGACTCCCCTCGCGAATTTGGACCCCTCGCGTACTTTATCATTGCAACGTATCGTATTTTGAATATTGTACTGAAAGCGTTTTAAATCGTCATAAATCTCATCTGATTTATTTTAAAAACCGTACGAAGATTTTTAGATCATCAAATCTTACATTTTTAGATTAGAGAATTCCGTCAATGTTTATGATTTATAATTTTTCTGCTACATGAGTTTATTTCTATGATCTTGGAATGTGCGAGAACTGAGAAGCGCATGAAGCCTTCACAAGTATTTTACTCCTTGGAATTGCTATCTGCTCTGACTCTTAACTGCTCAAATAAAAACGGAAAATGAAAATATATTTCAAATTATTTTTGGCTTAACATACCCATAACAAAGTGATGCATTCCATTCAACCCTAAACTTTTATAAAATTAGCATCTCAATACTTGTTTTCGTCATTAAGCAAATTCCAAGATAGTTGAGTCATGCCATTAGTTATCATAATTTAAATTAAACTGACGCCTAAATTTCCATGCACATTCAACTGCAAATCGTTTCAAAACTTCTTTTTGTGAATTTTAGGGGGTCCAATTCCGCGGAAGGGAGTACATATCAGCTAGCGGATATGTACCGTAGGGGTCCGAATCCGCTAGCTGATATGGACCGGGGGGTCCATATCCGCGGGGAGTCCAAATCCGCTGTGACACCGGTGTGGATATACACTCAGAGTAACATCACACAGGCATCTTATTCACCTGAGTAGATTACACCAACACAGCAAATATCATTTAATGACTATTTTCAAATTATGAGTCATCAACAAAATACTCGTAGGGCCTAACAACGTCTGCGGCTACCGAAAGCCAAATTGGAAGTTGCCAGGAAAGGCTTTTATTTCTAAGGAGCTATGGCTTTTAATAAATTGCCTTATTTACATGTTCGCCAGATGAACTCCATTACACATTTTTAAAAGTGCTTAAAGCAAATGAACAGTTTTTAGACATCAAGTATCATAAATTATGTGTTTAGTATGGTCTTGTCTTAGTATATGGTCTTGTCTTAGTATAGTTATGGTCGTGTTTAGTATGGTCTATGGTCTTGTCCAACCCCATTTCAACTACTGTTGTGAAGTTTGGAATTTCATTAGTAGAAGCCAGTCTGAACGACTGCAAAAACTTTACAACAGATGTGCTAGAAGTATAATGAACTTTAAAGATGAGCCTGGGCAATCACAATCTAGGGTGGAAAAGCTTGGAAGAAAGGCGAAAACGTATTATGGCCCGGCTCGATCATGTTTAAGGTTGTCAATAATTTGGCACCGTCGAGGTTCTCATCAATGTTCCAGAATTCTAACCATATCCACAGTTATAATTTACGAGGTTCAAATTCGTCTCTCTTTTTGCCACGACCAAATACCGAGTATGGCAGAAAATATTTCCGATATAGTGGGTTTAAAATCTGACCACTGTATGCTGACCACTGTATACTGACCACTGTATACTGACCACTGTATACTAACCACTGTATGCTGACCACTGTATACTGACCACTGTATACTGGCCTTGTATACTGACCGCTCTATACTGACCATTGTACTGGCCATTTTCTTGCCTAGAGTGCGTTAGGCAATACAGTGGCTGATCATCAGTACATATGAAAGAAGGAAACTGAGTCGTGAACTTTGCCTTCCAATTTATGATGTTATTTGAATTTTAGTACATGTTCATTGTGGAAATTATTCAGCAAACTGAATAACTGGTTTATTTTTACTCAATACAATAATGTCGAGATGTAAAAATAACT